AAAAAAAATTCCAAAAAAGAAACAAAAAACATTCCAAAAATAAATACCCCTCCCTACCACTGCCACTACCACTACCACTACCACTACTACTACTACTACTACGACTACTACTACGACTACGACTACGAACTACGAATCCTCCTCCTGCTGCTGCTGCCGCCGCCGCTGCTGCTGCTCCTGCTCCTGCTACTGCTAATACTACTACTACTGCTACTGCTACTACTCCTACTACTACTACTACGACGACGACTACTACTACTACGACTACACTACGACTACGACTACGACTACGACTACCACTACCACTACCACGACCACCACCACCATCACCACCAAATTGTTTTTGTGGGGGCGGTGCTTTTCAGACTGCGTGGATTGTTTGCTAGGGGGAGGGTTGTGGTAATTAAGGTCAAACATTATGCAGTATAGTAATGAATCACATAGTATGTAATTGCCTTAAGGTGGTTTCAAGGGGTGGACTAGGACGTTTAAAGCATTTCCAAGGCTAAAGCTCTGTGCAGTCGTGCCTTCACAGCCACCTCCCGACCTGTCTGCAGCTTTGCTCGGTGAACTTGAGCAATGGAGGCACTTCCCAAAGGCTCTTCCTCAAAGAATTCGAAGACCTCTTCCAAAGGCAAACCGCCCAACAGCTCATCTTCCACCACTTTTCGTACCACTGGAAAGGGCAAGGGGTTGACCTCATGTGGGAAAGAATCTGCCCCGCTGCATTGCTACAGATTCTCCAAGTTGTGTCGCCTACTAGAACCATTTTGCGTGTTCACTCTTCGTTCAAGAAGTATGACAGAGTGCAGTCCATGCATTAGGGGAGTTTCGACCTTCGCTAAATTCATGCCAGGTTGCAGAGTCAATCATAGAGGCACATTGGCGAGAATACTCTTGCGGGAACAAATCGCTGCGTGTTGCAATCACCTGCCCCACTTTCCTTGGCTATTCTTGTGGTCCCTGCCAACAACGTCCGATGTAGAACCTGCCCGAAGCCGAGTTTCACATAGAATCCTTTAAGCTCATTGATGAGGTTTCTGATCGCGGTCGCACCTGCCTTGTGCCTGAGCAGCGGAACAAACGCGTGCTGGTTGAGGATAGTGGGATCGCAAATGCTCACGCAACAGCACAGGAAACAAGACTCGGTAAAAACATGTAAAAACATTGTCACGCTTTGTGTAGTGTGTAGCCTTCAGGTTCTCACATCTGCTCCTGTAGTTTTGGGAGCCAGCCACCTTCTTGGCTGCAAAATGTAGGTGATCAAGCGATAAACATCTACCCCCGAACTGTCGTCCATCGCTCGCATAGCGTTTGACCGTAGCGAACTTCTGTCAAATGGTATTTGCAAACGGAACGGGCGATCTGTCGTAGTACACAACAGAAACCAAACGGGGGACGGGGAACGAGAAGCGTTGCTGCATCATTTACTTACAACTGCCGGCTATTGTGGCCTCAAGCATGGTCAACGAGACGCACGTTTGTGCGGGAAAACGGCGGGAAGCAACAGAGGAGTCAGGAGCGACATATGGAGACATGGGTGGGTGAATAGATGTGTCCATGCGGCCCTCCAGAATAAAGAAGAGGATCGATTGTTGTTGTGTTTGGATGATGTAAGATGGGATGGATATAAGGCTCAGCGAAGTTGGCGCCATGGAAACTAATGGAAGAGATGAAGACTGCCCCAAAGGGGGCTGGCCCAAGTCTTGGGATGTTCTAGGACACAAGTGTCTCAAAAAGAAAGGGAGAACCAACCCAAAGTTTGCACAACGAGGGTCACGAGTCACTCAACCAGACGTGTTGCAAACGCAAAGTGCAGTTGAAGCTTTCTTGCAAATCTGGGTTGCAGGTATGTGAAACCTGCCTGGAGGTTGCACATATCAGTGAGTAGCTTGTGGTAAATCTTGATCATTGAATTGCAATATGTTCCAGGGCAGCCCTTTAATTCTTTAAAATGCTATCTGAGCCCAAGGGCATGGCTACAAGAATGACATCGCTTCTCCAGAGCCCACGTTTTTGGGTGGGCTGAAAATAGTTGCTGACACCCAAGCTGTGCTAGAGCGGAGCGGCTGGAAAGAGAACGAACAGATCGTAACTGTGAACAACTGAAGGAAACCGCCCTCAAACGCATTTCTCGAAAGCAACGGCAACTCCGGAAAGCTAGTGCCAGCTTTGGTGATTGATTTGGTGGCAGGATAATAAACGACGGTGTGAACATTCATGACGAAGGATCTTCTCCGAAGAGTGCAAAGACAATAGATCGTCTTCTCCACCTATATCCACGGGTCATTGCACTTAATACTCCGCCAAACTTGAGGTTAGTTGGCTTGAGTTGGAGTACATCAGGCTGTTGACCTAGACTTGACTTGATTTGACTGACCGAGGATTCTGCGAGGGTGTCTTTGTCGTCTGACCTGAAAGGCCCCTCACACCGCTGTTGCAATATGCTACAAAGTCTCCGCTGTGAAGAGTGTGACGCCACACACATTCTCATACATGCACATGGCCACTTTTGCCCAACGACGGGTTTTTCGGGGAAAAACTTAATCCCACTAATAAGGCCTCAGAATGGACAAAATCACTGTCACTGCATGTCACTGCACTACTGTGAAACATGGCACCTCTCTTGCCATTGTGTCTCCAGTGTGCCTGGCAAGGTTTGTCTCCAATGCTCTGGTGACTTTAATGAATCTTTATATAGTGCTCCACCTAACAGTTCAAATTTTCGATCCATACTGTGAGTGGCGCCCAGACCCATGCGGCACATTGTTTTGTCGGCCTTCGTGTCCACTAAAATATCCTTGCACATAGACTGGGACATAACCTGAGAGAACATCGTTTCAGATTCTCGGGCGCGATTCTGGAGCCTTCTTGAAATTCTCTAAATGCAAGCCGAGGGACTGAGCAATAGCCTCAGCTGTGACACAGCGACCAAATGGTAGGCAAAGCTTCAGTGCTGCACGCTCCTTTCCAGCCAAGCCTCCCAGAACACTCTGTATAATAGCCTGGAGCTCATGGGCCAAATGCCTCTCATCTTTTCTCACGCGTAAATGACTGGGCCCTGAACGCACAGCTCTGAGAACCAAATCCAATTCAGAAGGAGGTTGGAACTCGGCTTCATGAGCTGCCTCCAGCCTTGGTAACAAGTCACCATATGTCACCATCATCTAAAGTACTAAACAACTTCATCCTCCTATGTAACCTGAAGTCACCAGCCTGAAGTCGTCAGCCGTTCTTGGCAATAATATATTTTGCAAATCTTCACGCCTGAATTGAAACCAGAAGCTGCTCTGCACGAGAGACGCCTTCGCAAAGGTCCGTGTTCACCAGCTCTAGCACCTCGCCTCAGTTTCAGCAGACTACCATAACCGTGTTGGTTCTACCATGTGATCCATATGTGGAAGGGGGCATTCTTGAGCTTCGGTTGCAGCAGCTGCAACATATCGCTGCACCAAGCCTCAAAGCACTGCGATGCCATGCAAACGACCTCTGGCATCTCGCGCGGGTCTCGCGCGTCTGCAGCCTGCAGCATATCGACGTCTGCATCCCAGGATCCCAACACAAGCACCTCGTAGATCTCACAGAAACAGAACGCAACAAAGAAAAATACAAATACACAAACTAAAATTTGCTACAATGTCAAATGCATCACTTCCACTGGTTGGACACCATATGCATCAAGCCTCCGAAGAGTCTGTACGGGCGAGGTCCATGCCGCTTTGATCTCTGCCGATTGGAGTAGTCACATGGTCCTCAGTTGTGTAGCCTTCACTCAACCGACCGGCTCAGATTGAAAATTTATATACAGTTTTTGAACAACTGACCGGCTCAGTGCTTCAAAGATGCGCCACAATGGTAGGGACCGTGGAGCAGGAAGTGCTAAATCCATGGTCTACTCATTTTAAGGCTGAAGAGGCTCAGTATCTTGTGGTGAATGACCTAATCGTGTATGTCCGTGCTAACTCTCGCGGCAACAAATGCGCGTTCGAAGCAGGTCATGAGATTATGTCTTTAAGTTGGCCTGGTTCGTTTGCAGCGCTTTGCTCTTTGTATCTCTTTGTCTTTTTTGGATTTGCTTCATCCAATTGTTTGCGTTCCGCGAAGCTTCAAATCGGCTTCTACACGGCTGCCCTTCGATGCCTTCTGGTGCAGTCTCTGCCTCAACTACTCTATATATACACACATATATATATATATATACACATACAGTATATATACTGTATATCACCCCTCCGACAACCTTGAGCCACCCGGAACCTGCTAAAACGTTGGGTAGTCTTTATTGGAGCATGAGCATCAGCAAGAATACAAGAAAATGCGCGGCAAGCGGCAATACACAACTGATTCCATAGAAGTCACAAACACCTTCTTGTGTATTGCACAGTTGTTATTCTGACTCTCGTCAGCTGAAGATCTGAAGCCTCGACATCTGCATATTGTAGTAGTCTTGTGGTCCTGTGGAAGCCAAAACTCTTTCTCTCAGGGCATCGACGTCAAAACATTCGGCAACCGACAGGCTTCCTGCACCTCGCCATGTCATAGTGCAACCAACATTGTCCAAAGCAGCAACCGACCTGGAAGAAGAAGAAGAAGAAGAAGAAGAAAAAGAAAAGGAACACAAACAATGTGAGATCGACTGCAGCGCTGCCAATCCATCCAATGACCTATGAATAGTTTTGCTGCGGCCCTTCGCAGTTGAAGGCCACAAAACTGTCCATTTTCTTAGAAAAACGATCAAACACGGTCTACTCTAAGTGCTAGTGACGTTGATCGCAAGACGAGGACTTAAGGTTTACGACGTCTGAGCAGGAGCAAGAACATAAAAAAGCTTCGAAGGACACAGGGAACACCAAACACATGGGTTTTAGCCCTAGCATGGATTTGAATGCCGAAGGTTGCTGTTGCCTTCACATTCATCTTCATTGCATTGTCTGGCTTTTGTTGACCCGAGCCTGGCAAGCAGCAAGTAGGTGAACGCTGGCACCAGAAAGCAAAAGTCTTTCAAACAAACTCAACCTTTCGTGTTTGGACAAAATGACTCCATTGTTTTGACTGAAAGGAAATTTGGACTCCTGAGTCTTCTACTGTTGGGATCTCAAAAAGCCCACAACTTCTGCAGCCCAACTGCGCATGTTCTGGACATGCATGAAGAACGTGCATCTAGATTGCATCATCGTTCCTATCATGTCTCAATCAAAGGAGGGCAACAGTGCATCGAAGCCAGGAAGAGACTTGGTGAGTTTCTTCCATTTCCACAGCCACTGCAAGTATACCATGACATTGACAATCTTTCGTTTCTTGCTCTGCCGAAGCTCCTTGCCTTCTCTAGAGGACATCTGAGAATGGGCGGCTTCTGCTTTGCCAAGCGCAGCAAAATCCTATGGCTTGACAACAGAAAATACTGCTGTCTTCTTGCCCGAGTATGACGAAAGTTCTGATGTCCATCAAAACTGTGACCGTCCGAAAAGCAATTGACTATCCAACGCTAAACTTGCCTCACCAAGGGTTCCTTAGTTGCCGGCCTTCAGGCTTTAGCTGAAAATGCAGGGCACCTGGCCTGCCTGCAAAAGCAAAGTCAAACGAGGTTGACTGTTGGATGCTTTCCGGCTCGACCAAAGCACAACTACCCCCATTGAACCCCCACTCAAATCATACTAGCTCAGGGCGGTCAAGTTCTCAGGGCTCGGCTCGGATCTCTAACGAATTGACCAACTTGGCCTGCTCTGCAGCAGCCACCGCTGCTGAGCAGGCAGGCCGCAGGGTGGACGGCGAGGATGTAGTGAGAAGTCGCTGGGCGAGGTACCAAGGGACAGATGTTATAGCCTAAATGACCGGTGACATTCAAATCAAGGAAGACCTCATGTGTAACTGTATATGATATGTGTATATTTTTCCTTCGTTCATTTACGCATGATATAAAGTATACATTTAATATACTATGTTTTTTTGGCGCGGCCATGGTGACAATAGTAGTGTGCACCCAGTTTGGAATCAAGCGGTGAGAGCTTGCATAGTCCCATGGACACACGGCCACACCCAAAGCGCAGACCTCTGTTCATAGAATAGGTCTCATTTCTACTTTCACTCCGTTAAACAATCAAGTGACTCTTTGGAACAGGGTTTGACCAACTGTCGTATCTGCAGTTGCGCAGCTGTGGCGATGGAGATGTCATCGGCTTGGAGGTACACCGCGTCCAGCTCTTGCAATAGCTTTAGAGCCTCTAGAAGGATGGACGTGAAGCGCCAAGTCATGAATTCTTGCTCGAAAATGTGCTGGGCCGAACTCCTAGGAGCAACTTTTGGACTCTTGGACCAATTTGCAGGCAGTGAATGTTTGACTTTAGCGATTCCAACCACCAATGGTTGGAAATGGCATGACGATCTCTGGACAAGAAGCCTGCCAAGCAGCACTTGCTTCAATGTTTCAACTGTAAAACCTGCCTGTGGCCACTTGCGTCTCTTGGCGAAACTGCTCATTGCTGCATTGCAGGCCGTCCTTGGCTCAGGCTTTTGCTCAGCTACTGCAGTTGAGTCCCTTTGTGGATCCTGCAAGCCCAAAACGAATCCGAGCACTTCTATAAAGCAATTAACCAACAAGTGCAAATGCCCAAAGCATAAGAATCGAATCAGGAAATGTCAGGATGTCAAAGTCAGCTTCCAATGCTTGGGTAAGTGTGGAAAAACTTGCCGCCAGTTGGTGATGTGTACCGCCTGCTGCGAGGAGAGCGAGAGAGAGGGAGGGAGAGAGAGAGAGACACAGAGAAGGAGAGAAATAGAGAAAGATATAAAGAAAGAAAGAATTAAAGAAAGAAATAAAGAAATACTGGACATACACAATTCAACCAAACAACTCAGTCGCACTTCGCCGCGGGTACCCTTATGAACCCCCATGAATCCACTGAATTGCCACGAAACACGGGGAAAACAGAATATCACCTGGGGCAATTAGGATTTAATCTTGATTGAAGAGGCTCAAATCAGGATCGATTCCGTCTGACTTCATCTCCCGTAGTCTCTCCAGTGTGGCCTCCCAGTCCACTCTCCTGAGGCTACGCTTCGTGGCAGGCGCCCGGCAGCACATCAGCGGTCCAGCAATCTGACACAGCGTCTTCTCTTTGGAGTTGGGTCAGGAAGCATGCCAGTATTAACTTCATTGCAGTGCGTTGTTGTGATATAGCAGCGTTCCGGCGCAACCCAGCAAAATTATCTTTTCAACCTGTGGCCATCAGGTCCTAAACAAACCACTACATCCAGACCCCGATCAAATGAAAGGATTTAAGCGACCACCTTGTCTTCTACAATCTGCACCTGCCTGCCCTGTCCACCTGTCAAGCATCTCCGATGTCATGAGAGCTGAGGTGTACGAGACGACCTGTTGTGCTGCATGCTCCGTGATTGCAAAGTCAGATTTCATCATGTCACATGCTTGGAACAAACACCGCTTGCTTGATAGAGCCTACGGCAAGCAAAAAACACGATTTCCACGCTACAGTTGGCCAGAAATTGATGTCGTGTTGGCCAGGCTTCTACGGGTCTGCTGCTGTTTTGCCGGTAGAGCGCCTTCGCTGCTCGTTGTGCAACATGTGTCTTTTGCAGATTAGTTCTGTGAGAACATTGGCAAGCTATTGTGGTTGTCATAGGCCCGCCTCCATGTGCAGGACTTACTTAAAGCAACCACATACTTGGCGCTGTTCTGCTTTTGTCTTTTTATTTTTCCAGGGCCGGGGTTAGCACATGGATAGCAAAACTCAGCTAAAATACAAGTCTGCAAGTTTGGAGCCAAAAGCAGTACCGAACTGTGCTTCCCAACGTCCAACTGCAAGGTGCCGCGCAAATCGCTGAGAAGGACCAACGCTTCTCTGCCCTCGCCTCAGGGCAAAAAAACGGTTTGTAAAGGACACTATGTTCCATCTTGGTTTTGCTATGAGCTGCCCTGATGGCATTGGGCATTGTTTCTTTGATTCCTCCGCCTGATGGATGAGCAAACAGCACATATAATCCTTGCCCGGCGACATGCGTTGATGGTTGCATTGTAAGTAATCAAATCCAGCTCCATTTGCCTTCCTTCGGCCTCGCTCATAAGTTGCAAAGCCTTGCGGGGCTCTGCAAACATCACGAGGCCAGGCTGGTCAGGTTCGGAACTCAGTGGGTGGCCATGGGTGGCCTGTGCATATCTGTGCATCGGATGCCTTTTGTGCCTGTATGCAATATAGAAAACCTGAAGGTATGCATGCTTACCATGTACCATCATGAACCTCAACACTGTTTTTGAGCATGCCAAGGCCACCGCCACTGTGCCTCTGCCCACTGTTTGGAATTTGCGCAAGCACTTATGGAGGCATTCAAGGCCACCACTGAGAGAGCGAGGCCTCAAAGCAGGGTTTGATGAGGTACGGCGGGCGCATGTATGGTCCTTTGCTAAACGGATATTACACAGCATTGGTGGAAGGTAAACCTGTTCAGAAATGCGTCACGGCCACTATATTTTCTACACACACACATATACATATATACACATACATTCCTAGACTGTTAGGATCCTATCCTGTGAAGCGCACTCCGCACTTTTTCTCAAGACCTGGTCAGGTCCGAAGCTTGTATGTCTTACAGGCTATTTGCGTTGGGTAGGTAGGGATCGCTTCCCTACCAGCTGATTCCGTGCCAGGTCACCCCTGGCCGGGCATCATCTGGTAGCTCCAGATATCACCCGCGCCCCCTAAACTCAGGGGGCACTGTCCAGTACTCTGGATAGGAATCAGCGGCGTGTAGCTCACGCTGACGCCGGATGACTAGGCATCCTTCAAGATTGGGGAGTGCCTCACAAAGGGTCGCCGATCAGAGTCAAGTTGAAAATTTGGGAGGGTTCAAAAGAAGATCACACTTGAGCCAAAATGGTGTCAGGTTCTAATCACTCTGACAGTCACTCTGAGGAATGACCGCTGTCCACCCTAGCCCCCCAAACCTGAGACAGTTATACATCCTAGACTGTTAGGATCCTGCCTGTGAAGCGCGCCCCGCACTTTTTCTCAAGACCTGGTCGGGTCCGAAGCTTGTATGTCTTACATGGTCCGTTGGGTAGGTAGGGATCGCTTCCCTACCAGCTGATTCCGTGCCAGGTCACCCCTGGCCGGGCATCATCTGGTAGCTCCAGATATCACCCGCGCCCCCTAAACTCAGGGGGCACTGTCGTACTCTGGATAGGAATCAACGGCGTGTAGCTCACGCTGACCCCGGATGACTAGGCATCCTTCAAGATTGGGGAGTACCTCACAGAGGGTCGCCAATCAGAGTCAAGTTGAAAATTTGGGAGGGTTCAAAAGAAGATCACGCTTGAGCCAAAATGGTGTCAGGTTCTAATCACTCTGACAGTCACTCTGAGGAATGACCACTGTCCACCTAGGCCTGCCAAACCTGAGACAGCAATACATTCCTAGACTGTTAGGATCCTATCCTGTGAAGCACACTCCGCGCTTTTTCTCAAGTATAAGGAAGTCAGGCACAAACAGAGCCGCCGGCCTAAAGCTTCCGCCACCCGACTGTATCTATTGAAGCTTGTAACTGCGAGCGGAGGCCCGAACAACAAAGAGTGGTAAAGCTGGAGAGCCGGCTTTTGCCATCAGCGATGCCAAAAGGTCACCACGCACGCCAAGGATTCCTCATGGGAAATAGGTGTCCCTCGGTAGGCGTTGGGCCAGTCTTTTCCACCGCTAAAGAGCCATTGCTCGTGGGCACACAGGCGGCCACTGCTGCAATGTGTTTTGCTGGCCTGAACGGGGAACACAGAGTGAGCTTGTTGAAGTCTGAGGAACGCTCTGACTGCCCCCCCTGTGTCACCATTGTCGATGATCCGTTTCTTGCCGCTAGATTGGACGCCTATGAGGGGCATCTCGTAGCTGACGTATGAGTTGTGCGTGAGTCATCGGTTCCGTACAAAACCCTTGAGCGGCGTCTGATTCGCTCTGTTTGAGGAGGACTTCATCATGTAGTCCCGGCTTGAGCTGGTGCATGATAGAGGAATTGTGTTCCTGTCAGCCTTCAAGGACTTCATCCATGGTGATGGTGCGACCTGGCTGCGGTGGGAAAATACCGTGCGGTGGTGCTGTGCTGACTGCTGGCATGCCGCGGACGAGGCCGTACGGGTAGCTAGTATCTGCCCACGGCAACAACATAATGAGGAGTGAGGTGAGGCCCAGGTCCCTGTTCGCCGTCACTCGACGAATCGCAAGGGTTTGTAGGCTCCGCAGCCTATCAGTGACTGGGCTCCATTGACGCTTGAGCTCCTTGAGGGCGCTTGCGTAGACCTCGGAGGTCGGCAGGTGGCATCCAGTGCTGCTCCGCACAAAAATCGTCAAGGAGTGGCAAGCGCTCAGTGGGCAAAGGCTGGGATCCCAACAGCAGGGATGTCGAAAGCGCTCATCAACACACAAACCACAGCTGAGCAACGCGGGCCGTGTTGTGGCTCAAGGCTCCAAGCCGGCTGGCCTTCAGCATGGCGCCAACAGCCGGGAGTGGGTCCCGCGCCAATCTAGGTTCTTGCTCGCCCGCCAGCGAATGTAGGTGTCGAATGGGAAAGTTCTGAAACCACTCGGCGGGAAGAGTTTGCGGAAGGTCAACGTGACGCTCTCCTCCGCGAAGAGCTGAGTAGGCGCCATAGCGTTGACACCTGACAGAGACACCGCCCTCATCAAGGTCGCTGGTCCTTGCTTGATCGGGCGACAGGTAGTCGAACACCAACCCTGCCAACGCTGTAGCTGGGCATAGGGGACCGCCTCCGGTGTCACTCACCAGGACGCATCCCTGCAGCTCGCTGAAGAGTTTTCAATTCTGTGCTACGGGGATCTTGAAAAAGGATTCTGTGCTACGGGGCCTGTAGCACAGGGCCGTGCAACCCTGAACCCTATGCATCCCGGGAGGCAGGAATCCAAAACCCTAACCCTGAACACTTAAAGCCCTTACAAAGCACTAAGACGCCCAGAAAGCAAAATGGTCCAGGCTTTGGGGGCATGCGACCGCGCTGCGCCAATGCCTGGATCTCGTCCAGCGCCCAGTGGCATGCCTTGTTGTCTGTCTCGACGTTCAGGGTGTGCCTTGGGTCGTAATGGAGGGGGGCCCAAAGAAGCCCTCGGAGAAGGCGGCCTCCTGTAGCTGGCCATGGAGAGATTCTTGGCGTAATGGATGAGAGAGGTCATGGGACGGGTCAATGAGCCAGTCCACTGTGATAGTTCGCCCGCCGTCCACAGAAGATGAAGGCCTTGGTCAACGGAGCGTTTGGGGCTGCCATGAGGTCACAGCCATGAGCGGAGAGTCAGACGGCCTGGGGACAGACTCCTCCGTGCCCGAGGAGGTGGCCGAAGCGTCGTCAGGGCTGTTTCAAGAGGCCTTCACAACAACGGTGGGCCCCCTGCACGCACTTGCCTTTGGCTTTGCATGACCCGCGCTGGAAGGCTGCGCGCAACGTAGCGCCGTCCTTCATCACCTTAGCCACCTGGAGATCAGTGAACAGGGCAAGATCGATCCCTTCCCGGACCCGCACTGGCATCCGTCAGGTCACTCCTGAACTCAAAAAGAAGAACCTGCCAGTTTTGGATCACACTTGAGCCAAAATGGTGTCAGATTCTAATCACTCTGAGGAATGACCACTGTCCACCCTAGGCCTGCCAAACCTGAGACAGTAATATATAATTGCATATGTCAGGGGGAGAGAGAGAGAGAGAGAGAGAGAGAGCGCAATGCCCAGTTTGCTGTTCTTGCTGCAGCCTGACAAGTTGCACCCGCTGTGGCCAAAGCGCTTGTTGATCGCTTGTCTGCACATCTTGATGACTCGAAGTCACTGGAGTCCCAGACGGGGGATTGACACCCGGGGCTCTGACCAATTGGAACAAACGATGATGCACCCACAAACAGTCTGCGCCAAGCTGCCCTGGGCCTCCATCCCAAACAGCAGCTGCAAAGCCCACTCCCACTGAGCTTCCTACACTGCAATGCTCTAGTTCCGTTCAAAAGAAAATGCCATGCCAACATCACGACATTTTGGACAATACGCTTGTATATATATATATATACCGTCCTTTTCCATCGCGCTAATGGCGGCTGCGTAGCTAACATTATTCACCTCTTCAGTCGTGCAAAGGAGGCGCAAGGCCTGCGGCCATTCCTGGGCGGCACAACATATCACAGCCACCATTGGGATGATGACGCAGCGCCTCTCAATAGGTGGCAGTATCATAAGCATTGAAACTTGGAAGAAGGCCTGCAAAGCTATGCAAGAGCGGATGAATGTCTTCTACACTACACTCACTACACCGTACCCTGAAACCGTTTCGCCAACCCTTCCTAAACGTGGGCTGATGGACTGTTACTTCCTTCCCCAACAAAATACCGCGTGATACTATTACCGCGCGATTACTGCAACAAGACCAACCTTGTCTCGGTTGTCCCAAAAGCCAATAAAACATATCAATGATCAAGCATAAAGATGTGATCAAGGTTCATAGCCCTTTTCACACGCAGAGATTGCAGCACTTCTCGTCACCACGGTCGATTCCAGCCCTTTCCTCGCTGAGTCGGGAACAATCGGCTCGGCTCGGAGCTGATGGGCGATTCACTGACGGAAAATCAACTCTCACTGAAAGTGACACTGGCCTCAAGGCAACCCCTCTGGCAAGTTAAAGCAAACACTTTTCTCACGGTGCGCAAATGAGAAAGCCAGAGGCAAAGAAGCCTCTAAAGAGTCAGCGTGAAGCGCGAAAAGCGCAGTGACATTGACATGTGACATTGCGCAGGCTGCTGAGCCCTTTCTGGGATTCTTGTAGCCTGGGATCCACCACTGCCTAAGCCGGGTTGCCTAAGCCAGCCGGCTTTGGAATATCAGGTCACAAGGTTCCCTCGCGTTTGAGGCTAAGCTAGGCTACGAAGGGGCGGAACAAAAATGACGGGTAGTGAGTGCTACTAGCAAATGGGGTATGTCAAACTAGAGACATCACATGCATCAACCTTGGGCTTGAGTTCTGTTTAGGCTGCAGTATACAGGCTTCTGCTCAAGAACCAGCCTATGCTGGGCAGCGCTATATACTTTCGGACCTAGTGAGGTTCTAAGCGTCACAGTGGACGAGTGAGAAGAAATTGAGAACATGAACACAACAAGCACGATAAAACAAACAGAAAATCGCCCAACAAAAACAATAGTAGAAAGGCCCAACAAGAAACAACCATTAAACAAAGACAAACAAAGAATAAATTGAACACAATATATATATATATATATCTGAAAGCATGCGTTCCACTTCAACGCCGGCGGTGTGAAGTAGTACCACTCCATCTGAAGCATGCTGGACACATGCCCCACGTTTGCATCTTTTGTCGTTGCATTGGCCAAGCATGAGCCAAAGCGTTGCTCTTTTGTCAGTGATTTGAAGGCAAGTGGTCAGAATGAATTCTGAATCCGCCATCCATCAACCAAGGATCAGCTGAAGCCCCGACAGCAAATGCAATGCTTGCAGCCACTGAGCAGCTTTTTCACACACGGTGATCGTAGCGTTGTAACCTGAGCACGATTGAAACGCTGGAGATGATAAACCGATCAGTCCCTTTGGTTGCCCTTTTTAATGGGCGACCGTGTAATTCAAAATTCCTGCCATTGTGCTTTTAGTGCGCGATGACATATATAAAATATGACAAGATTCTTAACAATCAAAAGAAAACGGCTGATTTCTGACCTGGCCATGGCCACCATCAATTTTCTCCTTGAGCAATGCTTGTTGACCTCTTCTTGGATTGTGCTGGAGGCTTAACCTCCACGGGCCAACCCTTCTCTGAATTCCAAGCGGCTCACCACAGTCGCCCTCAGCATGCTCTGCAGTTGGGCAAGGAGGTCAAAGGCCTGCGCCCAGGCGGCGCCAGAGCCCGTCAATGTAGCGTTGTAGCTGATCAGGTCCTGCAACAGGGCAGGGTGGACACCAAACACGCTAAGTCCAACCGAAGTAGTGGCAAGCTGAGCAAGATCTATATAGTTTTGCGAAGCAAAATGCATTTTCACTCGGGCCCAGAAGTCGGCATGTGCACTTCTCGGTTTGCGCGCCTATGTGTGGGTGGCTTGGGCCCTCGCGAAATTCTGACACGCCCGCTCCACCCACACACTTAGTGCGGTAGGAAAAATGCCTAGCATTCTCGAAATGAGGGCAGCTCACACTCCTCCCAGTTGGGCAGATCCGATATTGAAGTGCCCTTCATGAGTTCAACCCATATGCCTCAGAAGTCTTCAGCTCTTCAATGAACTGGTCTCTCTCAAACTTGTTTGAGCTCATGTTGTAGCTCTTCTATGTACAGGTCCAGCTAACAAAGTTTGCCCTGCATCTCGATGGACTCTTGCTTGTAGGCCGCCAAGGCCTTCAAGCCGATCCAGCAGTCAGCTTGAGTTTCCATGCTGGACACTTCCACCTTCTGATAGGTGTTGGTCTCCCGGTCTCAGTCTTCATGACTTCCACGATGTAGCTCCAAACCATGCCCAAGAACATCTTCTTGGTATAGTGCCATACCCACCTGGAGATGCTCAAGGCCCCAAGCAAAGCCAGATCACGAAGATCATCAATCGCTGGTTTTTGAGCTTTCTTCTCCTGTCGGTTCTCCAGCTGCTTGGTAAAGGGTTTGACAGCAGCATGACCATCCCCACATGCAAGTTCTTTCCCTTGAGGGTCTTCTTTGTCGCTTTCATCTGCTCCCGGTTTTCGACTTAACGATATTCCTCTTCTCCAACTCGGTCATGAACGCTGTTCACCATCTTTAGCATGTAGAGCAGCCCAAAGAGTCTTCTCCTGTTCAAGTTCTTGGCGCCGATGTCTGCACTGTTCAACTCAGTTGGGATACCCGCCACCGTCAACACCTTGTCCATCTCCTTTTGTTGAACAAGAGAGCTGCGTCAAGATTTGCGAACTCTCCCAATTCCTTGATGTTGCACCATTGCTCTTACTGCCGAGCTGTCTGATCTGACCTTCATGTGGCAGTCTTCTCCAACCATCTTCGTCCATAGGTGGCGGAGCAAAAGACCTTCTGAGCATCCAGCCACCATTGCCGGACCATTGCCACAAGTCAGATTCTCCCGATGACAGGGAGATGGCTTTCTGAGTTCTCAAACGTGACTCCATCAAATTCTCATCGATGAAGATCTGGAAGGATGTTGTGCTCTTTCTGTCGTTGCGGTTGCCAGCATAATCGGCATGAGTCACTACCTCGATCAGGTGCTTCTCCTTTTCTTCCACCGCATAGTCTTCTCTGATGTCCATCATGGACTGGCCTTTCTTTCTGCTCCCAATGCGAACTCAAAAACCCATAGTCCCCTGCATATGGGAGCAAACAGGAAATGCACAGTTCCAGGACTGTTGTGTAGGCTTTGCCATGGGTCTTGCCAGAGTCTGAATAGCAAACTTGCAATCAGGTCGTTCTTCTGCAAGGTGCAAAAGTCGTCCAACCACAGTTCGATATTTGGTGATGTCTTCACCTTCCAGCATAAGGCTTTCGTCCTTCTTGGCAAAGCTCTGGTCCATGGGGGTCTTCCTGTAGGCCTTGCTGTAGACGCACACCAATCCCTGCACAGCCGCACGCACCTTGTCAGTTTGTAGATCTCGCCGTCAAGCTCCACAAATGCCTTCTCATACTCTGGTTGATCTGCCATGAGGGGCATCCTTCGCATCCAGGGTCATGGCCCATGGCCATGAAGTCTTTGAAGACATTCAACATCACGTGGAACAACATCTTCGGCAAGACCATGATCGATGGAGCCGTTGAAGCTCGTACAATTCGTCGACTTGCAGCGGTGGGAGCATTGCCAGTGACTTGGTGGTGGTCAAAGGATTGCCTTGGCGCTACCGTCCACAGGGCATTCTCATGAAGCATGGTGGCGCAGCACAACGCTATACAGCCAGCCAACACTGGAAGCCGATGCATCCGAGGAGGAGTTAAAGGCTGCGAGATGCTGTGGCCGCAGGAGTGGTGACCCCTGCTCCTGGACTTCGCGCACAGCCAATTACGCCAGGTATGACCAGTGGAGCACCTATGACACCAGCAGGGATGACGCCGAGAGCAAAAAGAACAACAGAGGCGACGCAAAAAGGCCCCAAATCGCAAGAGGCTGGATAGTATTGAACCTCCCCGCAAGAGTCATGAGAAAAGGCTGACTGAGGAGAGCTGTCCATGTCGACGCTGGTCTTGAACTGTCTTGTGACCAATCGAGCCCTTCTGAACCATCCACCTTTCTCCACACGATGTTTCCAAGTCTGGTCGAACTTAGTCGAGATGATTTTGTATTGCGTTCCTTCACTTCTTCGTGTGACTTGATTTGATCATTGCCGGAATGCTCAACATCCGGTCCATTTCACTCTTTGCGAGCTTCTGCGTCTAACAGCTGCAAATGCTGATCCGTGGTGATTGGAGGATTGTCATCCTCCTGTCCCCCATAGCCAGCAAAGAGTTCTTCGTTGATCTCCTCCAGAATAAAGCTGTTCTCTGTCTCCTCGTCGCCGTGGGCCCCCACGGCTTGGATGCCGGCGTAATGTGGTGGGTACGAGCGTGCCAGCTGGTTTGGTGACGCGCTCACCACTGTCCCGGCATCTTCTTCAGCGGCCAGCGCAGGCTTGTTCCAACATCTTCTCCGTCTTCCCGCAGCCAACACCACATGATGATCATTCCAGCTATGCCGTCCAACCCTCACACCTCTCTCGAAGATGTCGTTGGCCTTGTACTTGGTGAGCTTCTTGAACATCTCTGACCCCCCAAACAGAGCCTGGTGCCAGCTCCAACTCTCTCACATACCTGCTCAGTGTGCCTCGAGGTGCTAGCACCCTTGCAGGCTCTCCTGCTTGCTTCTCTTCCTTCTTTCCCTCGTTGGTCTCAACCTCCTTGTTCTCGACGGTCTCAACTATGTAGATCTTGGCCGCGAATATCCGCGAATTGCAGTGAGTTCCGCTCATTGCTGATTGGCACTGCAATACTTCTCCCTTATTATGTTGTAGGGTCAGGTTTGCCATTCTCACTTTCAATGCGCCAGCCCTTCCTCAAGAGTCGTCCTGCGCACAGGATCCGATGCTTCACGTTTCCAAGCACAAACTCCTTCACCGTCTCCACTTTCTTTCCATTGCTGTCAGTGGTGTGCAACCTAGCCTTTGTGATCCCATCGTGGGCTATCTGTTTCAGCGCCTGGCACCCAGTGTCCCACATCTGCGTAGGACCTGACAGCCCCGCTATCAAACATTAGCAGGCACTCCTCCATGTCCAGCTGCTGATGCCCTTCAGGATGTCCACCACAGGTTCAACGCAGTCCATGAACATGTTCTCGTCCTCACAATTGTCCACTTCCTCATAGCTCTCCATCTCGATCATGCCCACACGCCATGGGTATCCATTGTCCTCGGAACCGGATCCACCACCAGTCAGGTCAAAGATCTCTAGATTGTGGGAATTTGGCGGTGTCTCCACTCGAACAATGAACCATCTTGATAGAGGCCGTTCCTGTTGTTGAACCTGAGGCTGCAGCTCCCGTCTGGCCTGTAGATGACGAGGCTCCTCCGCTGGCATCCTCAACAGGCGACACACGTTCCTGCTCCAGCAATCCTTGGCATAACCCAATTTGCCACAGTTGTGACAAGCACCTGATTGTTTGCTCCTGGCTTTTGCCTTTCTTGCCTTGACTTCCCTTGTCCCAGAAGCTTTTCCTTCTGTCTTGTTCTTGCCTTTGTCTCTGGCTCTCTTTCCTCAAGGTCAAAGTGGGCCAAGAGCTGAGTGGAGTCCGAAGTGGCCACCAAGTCACTGATCACGTCCTTTTCGGTGTCGTCGCGAGGCTTCTCGACCGTCTCAATGAGCTTCCACTGATCCGGGACAAGTACCACCAGGTGCGTCTGCTCCCTGGATCGTCTTTTTCCTTTGCTCCCTTTTGCTTCACCACTAGTGACTAGTGATGCTCTCACCACCTGGTCACTTCGTGCCCACTTGAGCTTCCCCACGCCCTCGTCGGTCTCAATCCCGACAGTATGCAGGTACCGCACCTTCCACTTGCCGCGCTGCGAGACGATGTTGGGTGCCTGATAGTGGCACACTTCCTGGACCGTAGGTCCCCAGCTCCTCCGGCGATGCTATCCAACACAAGGAGCTCTGCCAACCAAAGTTCAAGAGGATTGGCTCCCGAAGAGCACCGCGACAAATAGCGGGTCGTGGTGCAGTGGCGTGGGGTAGCAGGCCGGGCACTAGGCTCCGCTACCATGCGAAGCAAAATGCTTTTTCACTCGGGCCTAAAAGTCGGCATGTACACTTCTCGATTTGGGTGGCTGTGCTGCTTGACCCTTCATGACATTCTGACATAAATATATACAACACATACAAAACGACATCCACTCACCCAGCGCAACTCCACAAACAAATCTTTCACTCTGCTCCTGCATACGGTTTTGGCGCCCTTTCTCAAAAAGTAACCCAGCACATGGCCACGCTGCCCTTGCAGCACTCACGGCACTGTTCGACCTTGGCCGCACCGAAATCCTATTTCACTCAAAAGACCGGAACCTAGCTCGAATCGATCATCTACGAACCGGGCCATCTGATAGAACCAATTGAGCTGAAGGACGTAATGAGGTTTGGTTTGTGCTCTAATGTTTGGAGGAGTGTCAATGCGGCTGCCCATGCTTCCGATTTCTCAGCAGCATTCATCACCTCATGGAATCCGAGTACGACCTGTCAATCCTCTGAGCTCCTTTGTTGCCGTTTCTTCCTGTATCCGGTCACCACTACACGACAACAAGTGCAACAAAATAAAGAACATGGAAGTGAAATGAAGCCACAAACCTTAACAACCTCCGCCCAAGTCATGCCACACATGGATACACATGGTGTGTTCGAGTGAGCACAAATGAAGGGTGGACCATTGGACCACGGGGTCATGAACATGTCCCCAAAGAACCCCTGTAAGCATTGTGGCACTTGGGGCACTCTCCCTACAAGCATGAGTAGACTCAGTGGACAGTGTTCAATGACTTATCTATGTTAAAATGCAACTATATATATATAAATATAAACCAAACACATACCTTCAAACATGCGCTTGGCTTCCCAAGCTGGCCACAAATCCACCCATCCACAACTGTAGCTTACTAGTTTCACACAGGTCGTCATAAAAAGCAGTGACGAGCGCTGAAGGCACTGTTCGAGGCATGTTGCTCTACGTGTGTGGGAGAGCTTTTAGCTGAGTGGCTGCATTGATGGTGATGAGGTCACTTTGCAAGCCTGCCAAAGCTCCAACGAACTGATGCATACGACCGACTAGCCCTGATGGCTGGCAGCTATTGATTTTGCAAAAGGGACTCTAAAGGGACACAAATTAGCCTCGGAAACGCAACTCGCAGAGCAGTCCCAAAGCTTCTGGCCAGCAGTCACCTGATCCAAGAATGGACTTTTCGCATCTGCAATCGGAAATGCTTAAAGGCAAACAAAGGGAACAAGACTGACCACACCGCACTATTGCTTTTGTTTCACATGTGGTGTGCTGGGAGATGAGGGCTGTTTAGCTTGACTTGGCTTGAGCATATCCCTAAACCCACTACGGGACTCAGTTTAATCTCTCTTGTTGATAGACTGATAGACTTGCCGCGTTGCAGGTGTCCTGTCAGAGCTGCCAGAACATCGTCCAAAATCTTCAACACAAGTCCCAAGTCACCAATTTCCCTAGCAGACTTAGTTGGCCGAGAGGCCGCATGCGCTCACCGTAGTGTTGCAGACCTCAGGGCATGTTTGCAGGTTGGACCAGTCAGTGCTGAGAATAACATTCATGTCATCTCATATCTACCTCACTGTATCACAAACACCTCGAGTTCCCTTCAAGTTGCCTGTTGCCATATGTCAAGTGTGTGACGTCAGAATCGCAGTTTGAAGGAACATAAACCAACACGCTAATTATATTCATCACTCAGCACACAGTCCGCGTGAAGTGGCAAAACCGAGTGTTTAGGGCATTCGCGCAACTTGATATACACACACCACGAACGCAAATACCGTACGTGTCAGGACAGCAACAGGTGGATGAAGTGATGGTTCCAATTCAAGCACCCCACGAGATTCAGCAAAGTGAGTTATGGTCAGCTACTTTTGTAAACCAGCTGCTTCGTGAACCTTGTGACGTGCGCTGAGCTGCCTGATCTGAACCGCAAGCACAGAGCGGGTCTGACAGCCTGGAGGTCTTGAGCAACAAAACCTTTGAGGAGCTTCTGCAATCTGAAATAACACCCCCCAACGACTTTATCCCCCATTGTCTTCGACGTTCAAAGACCAAACGTATGGTGAGATTTCTATGGTCCTTGATCTTTTCCTGTAGGGTTTCCGCCCCTTTGGCAATCCCAACGCTGAAGCCCCCAGGGCCAATAATGCAGAGAGCTGCAACGACATTGGGCTGCAAATGCTGGGGTCTCATCCCTCCTCAGCTCCAGGATGCTCCAGGTACAATGCCTTACCAGGAACTCTTTGACCGAAAATTACCGTGAACACCGACGCTCCATGCCAATTCGCCAAACTCGGCCGAGCCACCCACGAGCACCAATGCCTGTGACCAGTTAAGAGTGCCACCACGCAAACGCAGCCTCGAGAAAACTGGCTGGGTGTTTCTCGCGAGTGTCATTTGCCCCAAGGGAATCCAGACAAATCTGTTTCAGACCGACGGATGCTGAAGAATATCAAAGCAACATCGCGCCATAGGAGACGACGCTTGGTGCAAGCGCCACTTTTTGGATCTGGTCAAACCTGAGCAAAACATCAGTGTGCCCCAACCAATGACGTTTCAAGCTGTGCCTGACAAGGTAAACGAAAACGCATTTTAAAAATATTATGACTCCACTTGCTGAAGATTACGCTCCCGATCGAAACCCCGCGAACACTATTGGGGACGGTTCTACCAAATATAGGAAAAACTGCGCGCTGGGGAGTCCAGGTGCTGATGCCACTTACAACGTGCTGTTCCAGTGAAATGTCTGCGGCTGTGTGCGCTTCGCAGCTTGGATGCAGGTGCTTTGCGGCTTGTATGCTGGCATTGCTGCAGGGTGCTGTTGGGTGCCGCTGGCGGTTGTCGCTGGGTACTATGTCTTATTCACCAGATAGCGAGACCTACTCGGGCTTTGGGGCCTGAATGCAGGCGCCCCGTGGCCGTTAGAGTGTCGCTTCAGGGGCGGCAAAATGCCCATGGCCGTGTGCGCTTTGAAGCTTGGGCGCTGGTGCCGCTGGAGGGTGCCGCTCCAGAGCTTCGGCAAGATATGCATGGCTGCGTGTGCTTTGGTGCTGGCGCCGGTGCAGAGGGTCACTCCAGGGATGCAGCAATATAATATGTCCATGCTTCGGCACAAGTGCCGCTGCAGGGCGCCTGCCCACGCCATGATGAGCAAGCCTTCATACGTGTACGAGCAGTATGTCACCAAAGGGAAAATAATGCCGAGGTTAGAAATCTTGTGGGCAAGTTAATATATGGTCAGTTGCGCGGGGCCTCAAAACTACCTACAAGAGACACGTTTTCCAAAAATGCATAGACCCCGCAGTTTGGGTCCTAACTTCTCCGGCCATCTTGTTCGGGTCTCGGCCTCAAGTGTCCCACGGGTTTTTTAGCGGTCAAAGTTCGCTGGATCCACTGCTGTGTCGGGTGGGCGGTGGCAGCGACTTCGTCATCAGCAGCAAAGAAAACGTGACAAAATCAGAGGCAAATGAGGGGACGGAGCCATGGTCGGCGTAACTTGCCTTTACAGACAAGCGCACAAGCCTTGGGAAAGTTGCCGCGGCGTGGCGAGGAAGAATATCAGGCGCACGTCAATCAAATTGAATGGCGCTAGTTTCGCGCCGGCATGTCGACAACTTCGCATTACAAGCTACGCGCAAGGTTGAAATCAAATGAATATACTGTAACCAACGCAGTCACGGTTCAATCAGAAGACAGTCCCACCCACCACGACTTCGGTTGCTCCGCCTTCACAGCCTCATGGTCAGACGTCCAGATTCTGAGCTGCCTTTCCTGACGCCTGCTCGTACCTGGCCGCGTCTCTTCACATTCTGATGGGTGAAGTTGGGAAGGAATTTCATTGAAAGCTTTTCTACCATCTTCTACCTACTTTGCGTTCACGGCGGTTGAATTTTGCGCAAACCTTCCAGTGATCTCATCCTTGGGCGGCAACAATTCTGAGCTTTTGGTATCCAGTGCGTCCTAGATAGCTTTCGTCATCTCCTTTGTCTTGACCTCATCTCCTTGCGCGGCCAAAACTTTGGCTGACTGCGCCGCCACTTCCCACCCAACATGCAATTTGCCAGCCACTGGTCTGAGGATTTGAAGGATACTTTCCTCACGAACTTGCTTGCTTCGCTGCCCCATCTGGATCTTGTAGAAGTCGACTACCACCCGGGCCATGAAATGAGCCCCTGTCGGCCTCATTGCGTGACCTGTCACGTCGTGTGCCTTTGAACACCTTCAGTGTGTTGGTATGGTGGAAGTAGGGCCCTCTTTGCCAGTCGAGACGGTGGCCCTATTTTCCCTTTGCTTGCGTTGCCCGGCAGATGGGGAAGGAGTTCTTCGAAAACAACGCTGTTTTTGCCAAACTGACACCTGGTTAGTTGAAAGCCGCAAGCTTGCTGTTTGGAACTCATCCATTCCCTTCTTCAGTTCCTCCATCACCTCACAGAGCCTGGTCATTGATCCTGTGGCACGTGGCTTGCCTCTGGGGTCTATTCCCAAAGGTTAACTGTGCAAAAATTGGCGGTTGACGGAATTTGAGGAACCTGCGCCCCAATTTTGATCTTCTTCTTTTCTGGCCCGTCTTCGCCTGGCTTCTCTTCAAGAACAGCTGCGCTGCCTCCATGTAATAAACCTTGCAAAGGTTTCAGTGGGGATTCCTCTACCTCCTCTTTGTCGCAGCGTCACCCAGTTCCATCCCTCCTCAACGAAACCGCGTTCGAGGTGTTTCTTGGACTTGCCCCCTGGTTGTGCGCACAGTCTTTATGTTATGAGCCTGCGTCGCAGCCAGGGCAAGCGACTTGCCGCTTCCAAGATGTTCAAAGGTGAAGGGCATTCTATGCATGTTACCACGGTGTGGAAGGGTTTATGCCCCGTCCTGCTCGTTGGTTTTGTTGGTTTGTTCAGCGGCTGGTGGGCTGTGCTGCAATCTTGGCCACTTGGCCGCCGGTTGGGCCACGGGTAAATCTTCTGAGTGTGGTCTCATGGTGAAACGCTGCGGTTGCAAAAGGGGCTGCGGGAAACGCGACAGATTCATAGACAAGCAGGTGAGTGTGTGGGAAGCAGCAACCTGTGCTCATGGAGCCGGGCGGAAGTGTGGCAACGAGGAAGCAGCGACTTGTGCTCTCGGAGCTGGCAGGAAGCGTTAACCGGCTCAAGAGGGAAGAAGTGCAAAGGGAGGAAAAGAGGGCAAAGGAAACACTCGGGGCTGGGAAGTTGAGCCAAAGTTGGGGGGTCGGTGTAGGACTGGGTGAAGCAGCAGCAATGGATAAATCGGGCGTATTTGGGGGGTAGCGTACCGGCAGCCGGGGAAGCCGCAGCAATGGGCAATGTGACGGATGTGGCCGGCTGGAGCGGAGGCAAACGGCCACGAACGAAAAAGAAAGAGGTCGGGCAGGTGTATGTGATTGCCACGAGGTTGGTTTGGAAGAGAAACACGGCGCGCACAACGTTTTATTGTTGCAGGAGGTTCGGAGGTAAAGTCGGCTCAAAGACTGACGGAACGCTGTTCCGGAACTTGTGCTCGCGGAGCCGAGAGTAGCGCACTGGAGGCACCATGGGCAAGTGGGAGGAGGAAAAGTTTGAAAAGGGTGCGGAAGACGGCGGTTATTGATGGCTTACATGTCTGTCGAGACTTGGGCACATCGCCTCCTCCCCAACCCATCCTTGGAGGTTCGCGCTGCTGTCACCGATCCGAATTATATGGCCGAGCTCCTGCTTTTACCATTACCGGCAATCGACCGAGGCGGTTGATGGTGGCACCGTGGGTTGTGTGACAACAGTTCACAAACGGGACCCTCTGACTGTTGGAACAGCCGAATACTATATTCCACGGCATTGCTCAGACAGCAACCCACAGGATCTCGTGCGCGCTTGCTGTTGTATGGGGTTGGAAAACTCACAGCCCTTTCAACGAGTCATCCTCTGCGGATGGCGCAAGCCATGAACTCGCACGATGCGTCCTGCTGACAGCCAGGGCCATCTTTGGGTACCATCTCTGGGCACAACTGATTTGCAGTTTAGTTCCGGAAGAAGCTCGAGCCAAAGCAGAGATCGAAACCAATGGAGCCAGCTTTTGACTGCCCATTCTGATGAAGAACTTCGAACCCTACCAAATTTTCAAGCCGAGAATCTGCCGCAGGAGTTTCGCAACGCAATTCCACAGGAACTGCACCGTGTTTACCTTGACGTTCTCACCGCTCTACCATAGAAGAACACAACAGCTGAGCCCTACCTGCGGCGGGTTCACTTAGAGTGCCCGGCGTCGCACTCAAAGCAACATGTGTAGCGTTCCATGTCTTACTTCAGCAATCAAGTCAAAAACAAAAGTATGAGACGAAATCGAGACGTTTTCTTCGCACATTCGCGTGCTTGCCCGGTCGTCCCAGGCGCAACTTGTGTCGGGGCCAGCTCCTCGACGTGATCACGCGTCCAGAACAAAGAACGACCGATGTATGTCGTCTGTTGCGCTCCTGTTTTGTCGACGCCGTAGTTTCTATCCTCTAGCGTTCCACTCCTTCAGCACTGACCCGGTTCGCGCACAGCTAGAGCAAAGAACTCCTAGGGCGCACCGTGTCTTTCTTTTTTGTGTGGTGCAGATTGATCACGAAAGCTTCGAGTCCCCCGTGATATGTTCAACCTGTATGGAGGCCACTTCCTCAGCATTCCAGTCCTGCCGCGTGCGTTTAGCTTTAGAACTCTGCCACTGCTTTGCTCTCGCTCTCTCTCTCTCTTTTTCTGGTAAAAGGTTTGTTTCGTAGGTCGGGTCTGGCAGCTCCGTGTGTGGTCGTATCATCTTGCTGATTTTATTGCGGACCCTGTCTGCCAGCTTCCCTCCTGATCAGTCTGAGCAGCTGCGTTGTATCATGAGTCGCACCGAGTCGCTGCGCGCGAAAAGGATGCACGCCCAATGGCCACATTTTCCACCACAAAAGTGGGCCGCAACGACCACACACACGATGCAGATCACCTGTCTCCTCGAGACAAGCTTCTCTCGAGCAGACTCCCTGGAAGAACACGTGTCCACGATGTCAGTAATGCAATCCTTCGGACGGCGTAACCGACATCGCGAACCTTTGCCTCCGAAACCACACGGACAATCATACACACGATGTCAATTTTTATCAATCTTAAAGAGCATCAAAAAACAAACGTTCTGTGCCAAAAATGGCCACCTCCCTCCCGAAGCTAAAGCTTAAGCTGTGATACTAGCAGCTTATCCTCCGGACTTACGCAAGCCTATGACAATGCCTCAGCACCTTCGGTGCGGGCGGATTTCAACCGCTCTGGTCTACACACCGTCAAACAACAAAACTGGCTCCGATGAGCTGTTCAGGCACTCTGTCATCTCTTGGTCCAGGAGCAATGCCAAAGCCTGCAGCCACTGCTCTGCTTTGCACGCAAAAATGCCCTGAGTGAAGCTGATGACATCTGCCCGCAGGGCTCTCCTGGCAAGTCTGGGCTGTCCACTGTTGCGTATGATTGTGTGTAAGTATATGCATATATATATATACAACCATTATACGTATACAAAAAATATATGTATATATCTTGGGTCTATCCTGTTGCCAGTAACAGTGGATGATGATGGTTGGTAAAGGCCTTGTTCAACAATAGTGAAATTGCTTACTGACTGTTACAGGCAATGGGCGGCAATGGGAGAGACTGAATGTATATCTCTGCGTGTGTTGACAGTGTTTATCATGCCTTAGGTTGCAAGTTGGTCTTGTTGGTGGGAGATCTGATGCAAGTGTCCATGGCTGAACCCTGTCAAGCCTGGTTCAGTTTCAGCAAATAAAGTATAAAGGTGTGTGGGTGCGATGTGGATGATGGCAAGGTGAGCTTACTTGACAATATGGCAACTTTGTTGGCCTTCGCATGCCTTCACCCACACGCTAGTTCGTCCAAACACTAGGGTCCTTGTTCATCAATTATCTTCCCTTGCATTCGTCACACCATAAACCTCACTTTCGCCAACCTCGCCTGGCAAGCTGGAGCACCCACAGGGACACAGGCCATGCCGCTTTGCTGATCACTTCGCTGTATGTGATGACCTTCGAAACAGAATGCGTACGAATGCATGTTCATGCTCAAGAAATTTCTTGACTAGGGCTAGGCCCGACTACAGTGAAAAGGGGCAAAATCCCGACCGCAATGTAGTCGTAGTGACGTGTCATTTGTGTGGCATGACCCCCTCTACTCGACTGGGTTGACAATCAGGGCATAACCCCAAAACCATGATCTATAGAATAGATTTTAACTCCCTGCGGAGAGTTGTGATTGAGAATTGGAGTTGAGGCATTCTTACATGTACGTCAACAAAAAGTTACAAGAAAATAGTCTCACAAGGAACGATTGTATGATTATAAAGGCCTGGAACAACTTTTGGACTATATATTGTTTTTGAAAAAGGTGTCTTGAAGAAATGACAAATAGATTCGCCCCAGCATACAAAGGGCCAGTGTCTTACAAACCAGCGTCGCTGATGGCTGCTAACTTCCCTTGGCAATCAGCATCATGCCCTTAATAGAACGCATTGCCAGGCTGCATCTGCTTCGTCATGCCCGCGAACACACAGCTCCAAGGCGTTTTGCCAGTTGTTCTAAGCGTGGAGCGATGCAAAGGGGTCCGAGTTCTGGACACATAACGCACAGTGCAACTATCGGGTGGTTGCATATTCTTGAAGTTTTCAGTGATGAGATGAAACTAGAATATCCTCTAGTCCAGCAGCTGATTTAGCTGTGCTTGGCAGAAACTCGCCCCCAAAGAGCGCCCTGCCATTGACGTGCAGGGCCATGTTCTTCACTACCCCGCTAGTGAAATTTTGTTGAAAAAGGCTTTCAAGTCAACAAAGGCTACGCAGCACATATCACAATGAATGGCAAATGCCGCAAAGGCCAAGAAGTGGCCCATTGAGCATCAAGAAACCCATGATGGTTGACTGGCTGCCACACAAGTGGCTCAGCACCCAAGAAATCTACCTTGACCAATGCGAAGACCCAAGTGTCTGCTCGGCTCGGAGTGTTCAAAACAGACTTGAAGTTTGCTGCGCTCCTGACCAAGGCTTCGAATAACTGGAGCAAATCTTGCTGCCAATAAACTACAGTAATTGTATGTAAGTGTCCTTCTGGAGTTGCACAGGGGCACCCCGTTACAAAGAACGATCCTGAACCAAAGTATGCCCTTGTTGGAGGTTGGTAGACCCCCCGGTTCCTTCAACATCAAACATAATGCAGCTGGAATTTAATGCTTTGCGGCACCCCACGGCACCTCATCTCATTCTCCATCTCAACTCACAAGGCTTGTGCCCTTTTGCTTGGATGCCTCATCAACTCTGTAATATTTGCAAAACTAATTCATTGAGAACGCCTGCCTGGGGCCCAAACAGCTTAGTCGGCAGGGATTGTTGTTGTTGTTGTTGTGGGCGGCCGCAGCCCCAGCCCCTGCTTTGTAAAGCAACATAAGCAGCACGACAGCAGCAGGACAACAGAAAGACCAGAGGAGGACATGAGGAGGACAACAAACACAAAAGGATGGGGACAGGAAAGCAAGACGAACACACCAAGAGGACTACCAAGAGGACAAAAGAAGGACAAGCTATGACCGGACAACGCCAAAAAGGACAACAGGGCAACATGAGGGGAGCACGCCAAGAGGAGAACAAGAGGAGAAGGGGAAGAGAGGACAAGAGAAAGACAAGATGATGGGAGGAGCACGACCGGAGATAGGCTGGCAGCCACGGCCAATGAAGACCCGAAGAAGGACAACAAGAGGCCATAACTGTTCCTAGTAGCGTTCTTGCTCCAAGTAGTAAGGCCAGGAGCCCCTAGTAGCGTCCTTTGCTCCTAGTAGCGATGCCCTTTGCTACTAGCAGCTTTTTAACAAAAGAACATGAGGACAGGGCCGAAAGGTCCGAAAAAATCGTGACAAGAGGAGAGGAGGACATCCGGACAGGGCTTGCCGGCGCGGCCTGACTGTGGCCAGCTTCCTTTCTCGTGCGAGAGAACCTCGCAAGAAGAGGGCAACAGGAGGACAAGGAAAGGACATGTGCTTCTGGGGTTGCTTTCTGGAGTTCCCTTGCTAGTGCCTCACCGCTTTGTAGTGAACGCTCTCATGTTGCCATATTCGTTTACACGCTGACAGGCTGCCATGTGGCCATGCTGCGGTACTGCGGTCTTCGCGCTTGCCGGCTGGCACTTTCCCACTAGGTGCCACACAAGGCTTGCGCGTGTGCAATTGTTATCTCGCATTGGACCCTTTGATTGCGCTCGGTGGTGTCATGTCTTCATGCTACCATGCTGTCATCTGGACACCAGCAGAAGGACAACGAGGGGAGGAGGACAAGAGGAGGAAAAGACAGAAGACAAAAAAATGACAACAGGAGGGCAAGGTCTGGAGACTGGCTGGCAGCCGCGTCCAAGCTGGCGTCAACAAGAGAACAACAGGAGGACAAAAAGAGGTCAAGAAAGCCGCGGCCAAACTGTACACCATAAGAAGGACAAGAGAAAGGACAACGCCCGGACATCACCGGCGCGGCCCGAGACTGTGGCCAGCTTCTACTTTCCTAAGAGAGAACCCCAACCAGTGCACTGTTTGGGGAAAAAAGGTTCCTCGCTCAATGGCCTTGTTTGGGTCGCGCAAGCCTGTTTTGTTGTGAGTCATTGCATGGTGGGAACATGCGCAACAGGCTGAGGTTCGGTTCAAAACTTGACCTGAGCCATGCTGAGCCCAAAGGTGGAAGGTCTCAAATTTGGTATGGACTGTGGTCGCGATCTTGAGGCTTCCACTTGGGAAAAGCAGGAAGCTGTCAGGAAACCTTTCTTGGACTAACAAGGTCAAAGAACATCGACTCGAAGAACAAATTAGTCTACAAAGCAGGAACGTGCACTTGAAAAACTTGCTTGCCAAGCCGGCAAGGTGACTTACGTAACCCACCCGCGGCTCTTTGTCTGAGTTTGGACCACGGAGCATTCAACAGATTCACGGTCGGGTGATGTGCAACAACCTGCAGGAAGAAAGAGCCATGAGACCGCAGGTTCGACTTGCCGAAAGCATCACCACATATCCCCACAGGAGAATGACACTCGACGCAAAGGATATCAAAGGATTACAGTATGATAAATGGAGCCATTTGGGTAAGACAGTTTGCGGTACTTGGTCTTGTGCCCATCTTCTACACCGAGAACTATTTGTGTTTTAAGCTGTTGCCAACGCTTGCCAAAGCTTTTCCGAGAGCTCGGCCGTTCACCTGCGGACTGAGTGAAGCCTGCAAAGGTTTGGAATCTTTGGAATGAGCATCGTGCAATTGTGCACCCGCAAAAATCAACAACATTTCTCAAATCTGGAAACTGCATCATGTTCTTGACAGAGTCATCCGATCATGCACCAGCAGAAGTGTAGTCATATAATCATATCCCTCTCCCTCCTCGTTTTTGACATGTTTCAACTCCCAGAACATCCCTCGGCAGCCGCGAGCACTTTTCATCCGGATCAATGACTCATAGGCTGCTCTTTGGGTTACCATAGCTTTCATATTGCTCAAAGCCTCAGGGCAGTGCTTTGGTGACTCGAGATCACGCCCTTCCCTCCAGCAACTCTCAAGCCATGCTTTTTCTTTGATACTTCTGGTCAAGGCTACGCAAAGGCTTGCAAGAATACCCGACTTCCGGACACTATGGCAGCCAGCGGAAATCTGCCGGAGGCTATGCAACAGCAATTTCCCCACGATGTCCCTATGCGAAGGTAGGCGGACTGCGCAGGCAGGCTATGGTAGCCCGTGCAGAGTGGATGCATTGCAAATGAACACCGCTCACTTGTCCCCAGTTCTTCTTCCTCTTTCTTGGCCTGCCTCTTCGAATGCCTGCTGGCTGTCCCACGGTTCCCTTCTTCCCTGCAGTGCTACCTACATGCACTCCAGATGCTGTGCCTTCCTCAAAGAGATTGAGCTCCACAAATTTTGAGATTGTAGCGGAGCTGTCTGCAAAAAGATGTGCATGGAAGTGCGCAAAAAGCAGATTGCCACTTCAGTAGCTGCCCGTCATTAAAACAAGGGCTGGGTCCGATTAGGGCCATTGAAGTCGAGCAAACTGGATCTGAACCACCCAAGCGAACACCTAAACTAGACAGCGCACCTCAACCTGCAAATGGACATGAACATGCTCGGCATAGAAGCGCTTGCAGCCTGTAAACACTGCTTTGTGCAGAAATATGTCAAATCCGTGGTGCCTAAACGCACGGCTGTGTAACTAACAGCTGTGAACTGCCTCTGTGCTGTGCAAATGCGGTTGTATGTCACATGGGCGCTCCGCATAAGACTGGCCTGGGTCGCGAGGAGGGGTTGCTACAGCATGCTGCATGTGGTGTGGTGAGGTTTGTTTGCGTCAACGCTCGTTTGTGTAGAGCTATATGGTGTGTGAACGCTGGCTCTCGTAAAAGTTGCGGCGTGTAAACGCTGGTGTGTGTAAGCGCCATGGTCCCAAAACTGCACGCGCTTTGTAAACACCACAGGTGTGCAATGCATCATTGTAGGGCCATTGCTGTTGCTGCCAGTGAATAGAGGTCATGCTATGGTGATGCTAGTGGCGGTGGCGAGGGGGAGGGGAGGCCTACAGAATTGATATATCATATCAGTATTTGGTCCGGAGCAGGCTGCTCAAGCTACCCCTTTGCTTCGCAAAGCAAACTCAAGGTAGCCCCTACCAGGCTACCTAGACGGAGAAAAGGGCATAAGGCTTGGCTAGAAACCCATAAAAACATCAAACTTAAGCTTACAAATCCGCGTGCTCGCTCGACTCAAGCGTCACAATTCAGATAGTTCCAAGATTGAGGTCGCGTGACCAGCAATTTACCTTCACATCCAACACAGCACCTCAACTAGGAATCGGCCTTTTGGCTGACGCGCTGTGTCACACTAGTTATTGCTGGTTGCTTCCTGGTCTATGCCATCCACGCACACATCTAGAAATGGAGCTTTGACTATGGCGCCCGCATCCCCACCTTCAATCCACACTAATGCTGATACCATCCATTCCGGACACCCGGATACCTTCCATCATCTAGGAATCGACCTTGTGGCTGCGGGAGCGATGGTTAAGGTCGAGTGAACTCAGAAAGCAAACTACCTGGCAGACTGCGAGGGTTCCTTCCTCCCATCTGCAAATCCACCACCAGTTGCACAAACCGTTTCTTTAGAAAGATCTTGCTGCCATAGACTGTAAGGAGGTACAATAAGTAGTTTGCATTTTGTTATTCCGCTGTCATCTTGCTTGTCATTGTTTTTGGTGTTGTCATTTTGTTTGGCGTTTTTTTTCTCATTTGATATTTTTAAGACCGTGTTTTCATGCAGTGTCTGTTTTTTTTTCATTTATGTGCCATGTCCAATACCACATGTTTGTCATTGGTTTGCCATTTTGTTCCCCACATTGACATGTGGAGTTAGTGTGGTATCCTCCTCCTCCTCCTCCCGCCTGCCACCAGCCAATTGCCACCCACCAATTGCCACCCACCAATTGCCACCCACCAGTTGTCACCAACCAATTGCCACCAACCAATTGCCACCAACCAATTGTCATCAACCGATTGTCGTCAACCAATTGTCACCAGCCAATTGCCACCCACCAATTGTCACCAACCAATGTCATCAACCGATTGTCATTAACCAATTGTCACCAACCAATATCCACCAACTAATTGCCACCCACCAATTGTCATCAACCAATTGTCACCAACCAATTGTCACCTACCAATTGCCATCCACCAATTGTCACCAACCAATTTCCATCCATCAATTGTCACCAACCAATTGTCGTCGACAAATTGTCACCCACCAATTGCCACCAACCAGTGGCTACCCACCAATTGTTACCAACCAATTGTCAATAACTAATTGTCACCAACCAATTGTCACCAACCAATTGTCCACCAGCTAATTGTCTTCTCCAAGGGGTCGGGTGTACGCCCTGGTGCTGGCTGGTGCTGGTGGGTCTCCGCCGCTGTGCCGCTGTGATTTGCGTTTGTCTTCTCCATGGGGTCGGGTGTGCGCCCTGGTGCTGGCTGGTGCTGGTGGGTCTCCGCCGCTGCGCCGCTGTGATTTGCATGCAAATGGTCTTCCAGCTAATTGTCTTGTCCAGGGGGTCGGATGTACACCCTGGTGCTGGGTGGTGCTGGCCGGTGCTGGTGGGTCTCCGCCGCTGTGCTGTTGTGGCTTGCGTGCAAATTGTCTTCTCCAGGCGGGTCGGATGTACGCCCTGGTGCTGGCTGGTGCTGGTGGGTCTCTGCCGCTGTGCCGGTGTGATTTGCGTTCGTGGTGTTCAAAAACATTGTGTTTTCAGGGTGCTGTGGGTGTGGAAGACCTAAAATTTGGAGAGTGGCGAAATGCAAAACTGTGGGTTTTACAAGGGTGGTGTCGGTAATGCGCGCCGCGCGGACGTGCATATTCGGAATTTCTTGGGTGATGGGCTCCGTGTCAACGCAAATGGCGCAAAATGTGCCCCAAGATGAGCCAACAGAGGCCCCCAAGATAGGTCCAAGATGGGCTAACATAGCCCCGCCCAAGATGGCCTAACATAGGGCAAAGAGGGGCGCAACATAGGTCACGAACCAATGGTCATCAATCATCAATTGTTACCAACCAAAGTGTCATCAATCAATTGTTAACCACCAATATTGTCACCAACCAATTGTCAGCAGCGAATTGTCACCAACCAGCTGCTACCAACTAACATCACAAGATCACACAACATCACACTCTGACATTGGTTTTCAGTTAGCTCAGTTCCAAGGTGAAAGGAAGGTGAAGGAACGGCAAGGCGAAAGGTCCAAAGATTTGAAGATGTTTGAACAAATGGTTTGCGCGCATCTGCAGTTCACAAGAACAGCGGTGTCGAGCGATCAGCGCGGCTGCACATCTGCAGTGGAAAAGTCGGTTTAGGAGAGGAAACATGTAAGGACCATGGAAACAAACCGCTCGAAGTGGACAGCTTGATCAAAAGTTCACGTTGCAGGTACAGGAATGTGCGTCCACATTCCCTTCCGGCTGAATCCCATAGCTTCGTTGGCATGGCTAGGGGAACAGCTGCCATGCCCCCTGCTTGAAAATGGGTCAAAAGTGAAAAGCCCTTAGGGACAGGGTTTGACACACACACACACACTCTGACATTGGTTTTCAGTTAGCTCAATTCCCAGCAAAATGGCGATGGAATGGAAAGGTGGCAGAGTCGGAGGAAAAATATTGTTGAACAAATTGTTGATGCGCGTCTGCAGTGACTCAGCGGCAGCTCACGAGCGGTGGAAAAACTGCGGTGGGAAACCTGTTTTGGGGAAGGATCACATGAAACACTATGAATCAAACCAAAGGAGTGGACAGCGTGTGCAAAAGTTCATTGAGCAGGTACACGAGAAAGCGTCCTTTCTCGCTTCACAATCTCAAACCACCGTCTTCGTTGGGCAGTGGATGGAATGAGATTCACAGCGCCCCTGCTTTTGTGGTAGAAACGCAAAGAGAAGCGGAACCCTTAGGAACAGGGGTTGACACACACAGGTAGCCGAAGTCGGCGCAGGTGCATGAAAAGGTGGCATCGTCCGCTTTTTCTCAAAAACCGCCGGCGTGCTGTTGGGTCATGTCCTTTTTGGACGTGCAGCCGGATAAGCTCTTCAGCCGCTGCCGCTGCGGTGTTGGGTGGAAAGGTGTACGTATAAATTGCATGTAGTCTGGAAGCTAAGCCGGAAAGAGCCAAGCGCTGGCTACTGGCGCTGGTGTGATCCCTGATTTTCCAGGGTTGTGTGGGTTGGATGCAGGTGATGGTTCGTTGTGGTAGGTCAATGTTGAAGCCCAGGAGGTGAAAGTCGTCCACTGTTTCCAGCTCGACTGGATCGCCAAAAAAGTTGTGGTGAATGAGAGTCTGTATGGCCGGGTGGGAGAGGAAGTGTTCGTTGTGCACGACGAAACGGTTGTCGACGTATCTGTAGTAGGTAAAGTGGAGGGCAGTGTGCTGGAGAAGATTGTTGTGGAGCTGGTGCCAGGAGTGTTCAATGAGGGTAATGGCAACGTTGCAAAGGGCAGGAGAGAGTTGGGAGCCAATCCCAGCCCGTCGGATTTGTTTGTAGGTGTTGTTGCATGCCCGGAAAATGCAGGTGTTGAGTGCAAAGGCCACAATGATGGTGATGTCGGAGGTATGGAGGGTGCGTTGTGTGGGATGTTTCGTGTGGTGCCTGCCAACGTGGGAGTGATGGAAGGGGTTGCCAGTGGCTTTGGTGTCAACTGTCAGGGTGT